TTCCTCTTCCTCTTTAAATGCTGTATTATTAACCTCAGGAATCTCAAGAAACTCGTCGTCAACTGCATAGTTATTTTCAAAATCAGTTTCACTGGCATCTTCATTAATGTCAGGTTCTATAGTCACTGTATCAAAGACATTTAAATTGGCAGGTCGGGCATCTTTCTTCCTGGATATTGGTTCTTTCTTAGAGCAATGAATCCAGTCATATAAGCTTACAGATTCATACTTTTTGGGCCGATAGACATAGTCTAACACTGGAGATAAGGCGACATACTCTCCTTGAACATTACCTAGTACAATGTTTTCCTTCTTGTGATGCAGTGAATCTTCTAAAGGTTCATCGATATTCATATGATCTGACACTGTTATCGCAGTTGACCATGCCTCTTTAGCCTGGTTAACACTTCTCCAGTAACAGATCTTAAAATTGTGACTGGTGTAATGATCACTATGACCAAGTAAGTACAGAGAGGCCATCGGTCCACCAATTTCTGGATTAGCGGTCAAAGCATTGATAATCTTGGTCAGTACTACTGTACACGCGCCTTCTGATGTCTTGGCATGTCACCACCAATTAACTCAACATTTCTGTCAAATACTCGACAGATGGCATCAAACATGACATGTGTCTTCAAGGGTGTTTTAGTAATATAATCAGTTACATATGCAATCACTGACTTAATTGCTGTACCGGACAAAAGACTCGTTACATCGGTATTGCATCGCAAAAGATAGGTGAGTGTTGGTGTAACAGTGTTGATCCAGGCTTCGCCTTTTCGCATATTGAGTGCACCAGTCTCAGGATCAACAGTGGTCTCTTTGAATAACTCATGTGGAAATCTGGCCTTACAGCCATACTCTGGATTCAGACATCCTTTATGACATGTATGGCGGTTAGAACGATACAGGAGTTCATCTACAGTGTGTGTGAATTTCTCCCACCATGATTGAGATAATTTACACTCTGGACAGTCTTCAGAGTTACCACACTCACATAAAGGTGGTGGTGCATCTGGCAATGTCTCAGTAGGAGGAATACGATCAGGATTCTCTTCATTCAACTTATCGAGTCATTGATGTACATCTTCCATGGTACCATTTATAAATTCTACACCCTCCAAATATTCTACCATTTTGCATTGAAAATCTGAATTGGGATCCATAATTCTGTCTCGTATCTCTTGTGGAGTAAGTGCATTCATAATCCAAATCATCATATGCATATGAAGGGTCAGTTGTCCCTGCTGTTCAACTGTGCCATAGTAGCCTGTGGTCTCACCATATATTCCAGGCTGATCAAGTCCAACTCCAAGTATGTGCTTTAGAAAAAGCTCAACCATCATTTTGAAAAATCTTGCATCAGCAACTGGATTATTTGCAATTAGTCAATAATGTTCATCATACTTTCTAAAGTCTGGTAAGAAGGTCTGTTGAGTATCAGCAAAGTACAAGGCAATTGGGTGATTAAGATCTGCTGGTGCAAATGTAATAAACCATGATGGCGCACCAAGGTAGCTGGTGAGTGCCCAAATTTCATTCCGCATGGTCTTTCTATTGGTCATGGAGCCTTGCGACATGGTCCAAGTCATTAATAATTTTGAAACAAGCCTTCTCTTCCTCTGTCTCAGGCTTGACATGTCCAGCGGAGAGTCATTTGATAAGATCAGCGAGAGTACTATCACTAAGATTAAGTAGACGGTTAGTAATATCTGTAAATTTCTGCTTATCTGCAAGAAGATAACCTGCTGTAGTCACATTTTTAATCTGTTCTTGATTAAATGCAATGAGTGGAAATAGAGGTTCAGTCTGAAATCGCTTGTCATGGTACATTAGCAATTGCTGCTTACGCTTGGTCTTTGATACAGACTTCATGCCTCGAACATTCTCCATTCCACCAAAGCCATATGGGAATAGCCATGAAAACATCATGTTTACCATAGAAGTGCCTGTCAAGCCATGCACAGTGAAGGGACACTGGCCTTCCATTGTGCCATCATCTTCTGCAGTATCATGCACTGCAGTAGCCTCTGCAACTTTGGTACCATCATAAGATTGGTGATAGTCAATGATTACTGGAGGAACATCTTCTGGATAGGTCTGTAGATTTGAATAAGAAATTTCAAGGTCAGCGTAATCAATATGGTTGAGTTTAAGCCATTCTAGTGCTTGCGCAACTTTGTTGCGACGAACAAGAAAAGGGGTACGAGCATACTCCTTGGGTGTAGGCTTTGATGGTCCAATATAGAGAAATGCAAGGACTTCATCCAGTTCTTCACGACTGGGTGGTAATGCTGCATAGATTTTTGGCATAGGAACAGAATGACATACCGCATTGGCCTTCATCTTATGCATTCGAGATGATGCTACCCGTATAATACAGTGATTATGTTTTATGAGCATTTTCTCTGTCCAAGTGAGATCCAGTAATTGCGATGGAATCTCACCAATCCAAAGTCCATTTGCAAGGGCATCTGTAGGCACTTTGCCTTGCTGCAAATCTGACAGACAGTGAACGCATATGTTGTCACAATTTGGTAATGTAACTGGCCCAGAGAGTTCTTGCATCATATTCTGCAAAATGTTCTTTTCGAGTCTGGATAAAGTCAGGTTTTAGCTGTGCACAAACTGTGCAGGCTGTTTCTACAAATTGAGACAGATCAGCATCTGTACAAAATTCCTGAACGGTCTGATGAATTAAGGTCGTAGTTAGAGGTGGCAGTGGAAATGTAGCCTTGGAACTAAGGTTACTATCTATCCTTGGATGCTTTCTAGATGCTGTTTTCTTACCTGATGTTTTCTTACCTGATGCACGGTAAGTCTGGCAGTATTGAGCATTAGTCTGATGTGGTTGAGCTTCTTGGAGTCTTGTGACAAAGTCAGGACATGAAGTGCAGGTATGCTCAGACAGAGTCAAACAGAGTTTGTCTTTGTTGATTTTTTTTCCACCTACAGAAAGACCATGTAGTCGCCCAATTAGACGCAAAGTATGTACAGGTAATCTTTGTGCTAATATACAGAGAGGTATATCTGCATAAATAATGTGCGGCTGAAGTTCAGAGGTGGTTATTATATTCTTTGGTACATAATCCCAGAATTTAAAGCGATGATCAATATTATGGGATTTTTCACTGTATCCTTCAAGGTCAGCAGCAGTCCATATATGAGGTTTCTTAGCAGTGATGCCTCCACCACGTATATTTCTCAGTGATGTATGAAATATAAGGTGTAAAGATTTGTGTTGAGTCTGAGGCCCTGACTGTATAGAGTTACCAGTTTCATGAAGAAAAACGCGAAAGTCATGTTTGCGAAGAAACGGCCGAAGCAAGATCTGATGAGAACAGAATACGTGCAATTACATATGATAGAGGTCACAGAATTGGTTGCATAATTAGATTTTATTGACAGGACATATATATAATATGCCTTAAAATCAAACTGTGTTAGTCTTTTTGAAAGGCTGTCTGCCAATACTCTGTGGTGTAGCGACACTGAATTTTCTGAGAGGGTGTTTGCAAGTACATTGTGATTAAATTGCATAGATCTTTTTGGGAGGGTGTCTGCCTGTACCCTGCGGTTTAGCCGCACAGAAATTTCTGAGAGTGTGTCTGCCAGCACCCTAGCAACATGTTCAAAAGACGTATCTTCTTCAATCAACATAATTTTCTCAGGTATCACAGTTCTTAATCGCCAACAATATAGTTTGCTTACATTGGAATCACAGTTTATAGTTAACTGTGACACAAGAAGGCCAGCTAGCATGAGCTGAAAGCACAAAAAGGCTGCTATTAGCAACCTCAGACAAATTCGATAGGCAAGCATGGTGGTGGTTGATACAAGAGATGTTGCGACGTGGCCAAAAAATATGACATAATGAACACAACAGAGCACGTGATCAGACTACAGCATTCACGTAACAAACTTTCAAGTCAGAGGTCTCAATATTTCTTATGCATATCAACAAACTATGATGCAAAGTATGCTCATAATATTCAAGATACAAGCATCAGACAATTGTAATGACCAGGTATTTGAGAAGACAGCGCCATGCAATTAGTCCTTCTTCAACAAAATACAGACCGCCATCAGATTGAGCGACACCGAGTCTGTCCCCAGCTTGGTTTTGTACTGGCTAGGGCTGAACAGGACAGCAACAAAAGAACCAAGAGGAACCTCATTATTCCAACGCGGGCAGGTGTCACGCACTGAATTGAAAGAGAACTCATTATCTGCGACTCTCAATGCCCTGGAAGAATGCAGTGCAGTCATATACAACTAAGACTCAGACGTATCAGTGTTACGATCAGAGAATATTGTAGAACAGACATACCATCATCCTAATGATCAAGTGTGCTAGGAACTTTCCCCTGCGGTAAGATAAAGCCAGCTGCACATTTCCATCAGCACTGGTAGAAGGGCCACCATGCCTGCCCATGACAGCCTTGCTTGGAGAAGCCTTGCTGAGCATCTTGTTGAGTGATGTACTGCCAGCTAAAAAAAAGAATAAGCAAAGTGAAAGAAGACATAAAACAGACTATCGGACATACAATTGCCCGCATAGTCAGGATGCTCCAATGTAGATGGTCTGGTGGACATGGTGACACTGTTCTGATAGGTGTAAAGACCATAGTTGCAGCGACAGTGCTGAATGTTACACCACCAAAGGTAATGGCCAGCTGACGAGCCCCCAGCCGGCTTTCCAAAGAACCTGTCATCTGATAGTTTTTTATATTTGCGCCTGCAGGATTGACAAACAGACCATCACTGAAAGCGAAGGTGAGAGCCTTGATCAGTGCGCTACGATGTAATATTAGACAAATTGCATCTGCTGCAAAGTGAAGTAGTGACTTACGGCTTGTTCATCTGATATCCCATAAAACCGTCCAGCACACCAGTGAATGTCAGTGTATTGATAGGCTGATATGTGATCGCATAGTAGGCGCTGCATATTATGAGTGAGAAAATGTAAAACAAGAGTAAAATATAACTGAGATGAACCGTCAGAAGGGAGGCAAAGTCTCGTAGGCATCAGCCTTGAGAAGAATCGGATCCATCAAGGTTATGGATGTGACCTGGTACTCAAAATTTTCCTCTCCTTCGTCAGTATCTCTGGAAACAGTATAAGTTAAAGCACAGAGGTGTATAGGATATATGTACTCGTTCTAAAAGTTAAAACAAATATGGTCATCCTTAGAAATGCATCGAAACAAACAATGACACTTACATTGATCTCCATCTTTCCATCCTTCATGATTGCTTTACTAAGGCGGATATTAAAATCAATGAATATACCAGAAAATATTCATGTTTGCTTACGAGGGCAACAGTTTCTGAACGTCCGAGCATGAAGGCTGATGAATGCTGTGGTACAGATAGGTTTTAGAATGTATCATATAACAATATAATCAAACATATTTACAGAACATCCTCCGTCTTGCCTTTTGATCCACTGGCGAATTTGGTTGGAGACAAGCAGATGCTATTCAATGAAATCAATAGGCAGTTAGATACTTGTGCAACATACTTGCGGTCTCTAGGATCATATTGCTTTACTTGCAAGCAGAAATCTTGTCTCTCCTGCTCTGACATCTTCATCATGGCAAGGCGCAGCAGGCTATGTAACAAAGTGAGTTTAAAGTATTGCGAACTGATATAAGAAAACAACATACATCATTACATCATAATGATCAAGCTTGGATTGCTTTGTCGATGCTTCTGCTTCAGAGTCAAGCTTACTCTGCCTGTTACGACCTTTCTTCACAGGGGAAGATCTGAATAAAATAGTATAAAAATATGAGATGATAGTCAAACTGAAGTTACATACTGTTCTGGCTGTGCATCCTTGTCAGAATCACTGACATAAACTCGCTTGATAGGTGTATGAGTCGCCTTTCCTTTGCTGTAGTAACATATGTATGAGTGAGTCTGAAAACAGTATAAATTGAACTACAAACTTGGGCGAAGGACTAATGGGAGTTGGCAAAAGAATGAATGCCTTATTCGCCTTTTTCTTTGGAGTCTCGGTAATTTCGGGTTCATTGATTGGTAGGGCCGCATCACTACAAGATACTCAAACTTGAAGAATAGAAAGACAAAAGACTACAGCGTACCTCTCCAAAGACTGCTCGGTATCGGAGTCATTGTCCATGAATACGTCCTTCAGCTTAGCACTACACACATTATAAACAGCGACTCAAGTCTCAGTAACAAAATACTTACCTAGCGATCTTGGCAGCGGTACGACCGGACACGCATGAAGCACTTGGATAAATCAGAGGATTAAACTAGTTGCTATCAGCAGTATCAGAGAGACGTACAGATTGGTTTCATCATCGCTGCTTTCAATGACCTTCTGATACTTACCAGCTTTACGAGGAGAACTGACGCAGATAGTCAGCTTCTGAATAGACCTGTTGTATGAGTCACGCACCTCACAGCCATATCCTCATCGCTGTTGTCTATGGTCTGCTTGTTCTTACCACCTTTGCGAGGCATCGTGATTGCCTTCTCCCTGTGATCATCGGCTGAACATATAATCAAAAACAATGTAAGCTGCATGTACCTTGTTACTGTATCCTCATCACTATAGTCCACCATGTTTTTGGCCTTCACATTACGAGGCATAAGCACTACAGCTTTGGGAGTTGACCTGAGTCGTATTAGAGAGACGTCACAACATTGAAATCAAACACGTACTTTACTGCAGTTATCTTCTGCTTTGCAGGTGAGGTCTCATCCATCTCAACACTGTTTATATAAAATCATATTGCTATCATGGCATGAAGTAGAATGCTCACTCAGAGTCAGCGACCATCTTATCAGACTTGATTGACTTTTGGCCAGCAGTACGACCATGGTTCCTAGAATGAAACCTATCAAGAGGCTACAAACACCAGCAGTATAGTGGAACACACTTGGTAGGAGTCGAATTGGTGCGAGGAGGCATTGTTAAAAGACAAGAGGATACCCTGTTCAAATAAAGGATAGGTTGAACGTCGATGGGAGCATAAGGTCATTAGCCTTTATACAATTCAAATGCGGCTGATGTAAATAGAATATATTGTATGATGATCTCGAACATTAGATCTTTGGGGAGGAAATTCTGTTGGGGATGATCGTCCCACTATTTTCAAGTATTATACTGGCCAGTAGGAAAGCGACGGAAGCCCATGTACTATATAAAGAAATTCTGGAGCATGAATGAATTGTCATGTGATAGGGAATATACTGCACCTCAGATGTTTTAGACCATCCAGACTATTATTGTCTCAGCTAGATCGTACGATATCAAGTTGAACTGCAGCATTGGATTTATCATACTAAAGGAAACATTCACCTCTTAGTTTACTCTTCATCTAACTAACAATATTGGCATCGCACTGTCATTACAGTATATTCAAGATGGCTGTGGAATTTATGAGAAACAGTGCAGAAAAGTATAGGCTGCGTAAAACTCACAATATATTTGTAGAGCAGTTGTTAACCAAAGTTATTGAGGGACGAAGTCAAGGTGGTAATGTTACACATCAATTGATCAACATGGCCAAGGTAAGAGTTTATACAGTGAACAATGAATGAATGGCTCACCAAAGCTGCAGCCTGACTACGCTCGAGTGACAACACAAGTCTTTACTCAAGAAGATAGCAAGACTCAGCTGAATCTGATATGGCCATACAATAGTATTGATGAGCCAGAGGATGCAGTTCTTCACGTGCAAGGATTTCTTTGCAAAAAGGACTTGCCACCGATTGTGCAAAATGACCAGTAAGTGTTATTGTCTACACATAGAAAAATACAGCTCACAAGATATCAGGCTCCCTTCAAAGCTCTTCAGAGCAACGCAGTCTGTGAAATTGATGGGACTCGGTTCTCCGACCTTTGCAGAAGCGGTCAAGGGTGTTATTGCCATTCATCAGCTGTTTGCTCAACATCTCGATAAAGGCATGCTCATCCCATGGAGTCCGATCTGAGAACATGATGAACTTGTATTAGAGTTCTCCAATTGGTACCTTTCTTTTATGCGGGACATGGAGGACGACAACGAGATTCCGATTGGAAATGACATTGATCCGTTTGGCATCCTAAGAAGCCGTATTCGAGATGAGACATATCTTACAAACAATGTTGTTCAATACTTTGAACATATCACCAGGCTTTCAGGAGAGACAAGGTGAGTGAATATTTGAAATGAAGAACACAAATGCTGACTGTCATGCATAGCATTGTTGTCATAAAGCCGTCAGTCATCCAGGAAGGTCAACTGGTAGAGCTTCAGGTTACCTTTTGCACTGTGCCAACATCGAAGGGACGCATGCTCATGTTGAGCAAGTTACAATCGATCTGCATTCTGGATTGTCAAGTGCTGTCGGTAAGAAGGTAATCAAATGGATCAGATAGATTGAATGCTGATGTACATATATTCCAGGATCGCAACCAGGTTATTATGAACTCACTGGTCACACCTGTATTGCCCATTCCAAGGGTCAAGCGCAAGATAGGTTACGATGAAGATGACTCGATGATTGGAGGCATCAAACGTTTGCATCTTGACACTGAGAATCGCGAGAAGAATATGGACACAAATTCTGAGTAGAATTCACATTCGTTAGCTTGGTTATCGTAGTCATGAATAGCTCACTCACCATCATTCAGTAATGTATAGCCTATTTAATTGTCCTACAAGTATATACAAATCATCACAGATTGTAAGCAACATGATTCAACAAAAGAGACAGAGATAACATTGTAAAATGAAAGAAACTCAGTAAGTCAATAGAAGTATCCGTCCAACCCAGGAAAGAAACTTTGCATAAAGGGCCAAGCTGCAGGAGAATGATTGTCATCTGGGTCACACTCATACTCTGGCATACCCCAAGTCGTCAGCTCATCTGGATCCATCTGATGACCTTGAATGTCTTCATCAACTGCACATTGTTCATATTCGACAATTCCATTGGTCGTACAATGTCCAGTGAATTGAGAGCCATTGAAGCCCTCATGATCCGGGATGTTATGAAATATACTGAGCTCAGAATGAGCAATGTGTAAACGTCGAAGCTGTGGAAGTTTCTGGAATAAATAGTCGGTGATTGTCCTTTCTTCCTGTGCAACAGCAGGTCGATCTGGATTGATAGCGTGTTGGATACCTCGAACCGACTTTGGAAGAGTGAGTGATAGTGGCTGAATGGTGAATGGAGTGTCGATGATAAGAACACGTTGCTGGGGAAAGAGCGATAACTTGAATGTGAATCGTTCAATATCATGCCACGGTCGACGAGTATCCAGAATGTTAATATTTTATTGAATTTATCAGCTAAGATCCACAAAGATGAGAAGACCACGCACCATCGCCTCTTCCTCATCCAACTCCCAGTTCTGCTGATCTATCAGTCTGATCTTCTCAATCCCAGATCCTTCTACATTCCACCACTGAGCAAAGCATGTGATCACCGCAGAGCAGGCCATATCGGAGATGGCAATGTTGAGCTTTTTGAAGTATCTCATAAAGGGAGTGATCTCTCGAGCTCTACGTTGGACAGCCAGACTGTTGTCTAACTCATCCATACATTCGAATAAGTCAGAAGAATAAATACAGCAGCATACCAGATGATCTAGGACTCAATATTGACCTACCATATTGTATAAACATGGGCAGAGGGTCAGATCTGCCATCCAGCCTCAGATATTGGCACTAGAGAGAGCTTTGGGTGAGGATGAAAAGCGAAAATTGGAAGATGAAGAACTTACCTAAAAGGACAAACTAGGGCTTGTCCTGATGCTATTTCAATGTGCAATGATGGGTAAAGAAGTTCTTACAATGCTCCTCCAACTGCTGCTGCAATATCAACTGTATATGGAATTGGTAGAGTTTGAACTCTACTTGTCTATATATTTACTTGACCGTTGAATTTTACAAAGTAAATGCTCCACCATTATTACATTAAAGGTAATGAGTACCTTCTCCTCTTCAGTAAGCATGGTGTCCAAAAAGTTGTAGGCAACTTTGAAGGCCTGTACAACCTCCGCTCGAGAGTAGGTATCAGGTAGCAATGAGCAATATTGCAAGCCAGAAACTGCTCCCTTATTTACTGCACTCACCAATGTCCCCATCTCCTCAGCGCTAGGCATCCGAAATTTGCCAGCATGACATAGGTCTCCAGCTAAAAGCATTCCTATAAGAGGCCCCATCTGTGGCAGATTCGCGGACTGGGTCCACTGATAAAATGCGGTGAATCTAAGCTGACCATTGGCATCGACCATAGAAGGATCGTCAAACCACTTCTTCCACTCCTTCTCCACAGCAAAGTAGGCAGGAGCATGCTCAGGCCCGCGTCCACCAATTGCTGAACCATAGGCAGTCTTCTTGCAAAGGAACTTGGGATCATCTGATGGACAAGAACGACACATGGCCTGGAAGGCTTCAAGATCAGGAAAGAAGACCTCCTTCTCAACCACAGCTTTGCAACCAAAGGTCACTCCATGCCAACACAGTACACTGGCAAAGCCGCCAGGCTTGTTAATATTATTTGGATGCAGTGGACCATTCAGGCCAGATACGCTGAGTTTTGAAGGTGCATGCTTGCAGAAAGGGAAAATTTGTCCAGGTCTTTGAGAATGTGCGCTTGAATACGAGTAGGTGAGGAAGGCGAAGTCTCCAGACATGGTGACAAAAGATCCTTGACAAACTTCAGTAGACGGCATAGTTCTGGACTATAGGTTGAAGGTGTAGAAGATGATGCAATAGGGACAGGGTGTACATTGGGAGAAGGATTGGAGGGAGCAGGTTTAGTTTTGCGATGAGATGTAATGCAATGTTCTGCATCACCAATGATGTCCTTAAACGTGTTATATTCAGAACTGTGAGGTGTCAGGATTGGCAACTCTTGGAGTTTCTTGAAAAAGCCATCCAGCATATCAACATGAATAGAACTGTGCCGCATCGAAGGGGTATTAAGAACGGCCTTCTTGATGAAGCTGAAGGCATGCCAGATGCCTTCCAAAAGAAGCACATGTTGAGTTTGAAAGGTGTCTACAAGGCGATAAACAAAAGCCCTTGTGCGAGATAGGTGTTGTTTGGATAAGAAAGCCACTGGCATACAATGGTATAAACTAATTGAAGTGTACGGACTTGCAACTCTTCGCCTTTAAATGTCAGGAAGGTGGATAATGGATAGGAAGGCATGTTGTCAAGACCTGGAATGAACGATGTCAGGTTTATATCCACAGAGTCGCCAGTAGAGAGATGAGTATAGACTGCCATAGTCAGAGCAGATAGCCAGTCTGTGGGAGGAAGACTGGTATTGACATGGAAAGTAAGAAATTTGGCACAATGCTCCATGCAACTGTCATCTAGCCAGTACCAAGCAGCTGCTGCTGATAACATAAGCTGCTGATGAGATAGCATCAAATCCCAGTCATGAATATCGAGCTTTCTGGTAAGCATGTTCAATGGTGACCATATCTGAGAGAGATCCAAGGCAAACCCAGCGCTCATACGCTGACGACCATTATTGAAGTTCACAAGAAATGTAGCCACTTGCTGCAATGCCTTTGGATCCTGTCACTTCATCTGCATCTCAACCTCAGTGACAATGCGTGATAGCTTGAGTTTCATTGCACTAAGGTTCTTTTGCTGAAAATATTGCAGCGCCACTGTGTGACATATAAAGTCAGAGTTGATTAAATAAAACATATGTAGTTATTACCAGGAGCGCCATCATTTGCAGCAAACACCTCTTCAATTAACTCAATGTCTTGCTGTTCATTCTCTGCAAAATAATTCTTAATCAAATATATAAAGCAAAATACAGCAAAGACTCATACCTTGCATAACATGAGAAGAGTCTTCTAACTCTTCAGCAGATTCACTGTGCTCTTCAGACTCCTCATAAAACACATGTAGAAGGGCTGAAACCTTGTCGACCTTAGCAACTTTGGCTCTTCTCAAAGGCTTTGTGTGTGAGAGTGGTATGTCGTCTTCAGTATTGTTGTCCAGACAATAATCATCATCACCTTCATCACCATCAAGTGGCTCAGGGAGATTGTCTAGACATTTAAATTGAGTGAAATGTTCAGAGTATAGAATATATATAATCACAAACATTCAGTATGTTTCTTTTCCAACAAGTGACTGCTTCTGCGCATGCCATTATCCCCATCCACCTCCATATTACCAGAGTTAGAGTCAATATTCATATGGGTGTTGTGAGCAGAGAACTGGAAGTGGATTTCTGCGAACTTTTATGTTTCCTAGTGAAGCACACTTCTGGCTGACATTGCAATTTCAAACTGGTTGCATAAGGCCCTTGATCTAATGGAAGGTGAATACATATAGTAACAAAGGAGAATAGAAAACATACCAATGTGCTGGATTCGACGACCTATGTTCAAAATTAATGAGATGACAACAAAAAAAAAACAACAAATACTTACGCTTTTGACGTTCCAGCAACTCTGCAAACATATCCACATCTGAACCGGCAAGTTGCTGGACAGACCATTTGTTGCTCGCAGATCCTTTCCCTTTGCCCTTTGCCTTGCCCTTGCTCCTGCCTTTGCCCTTGCCTTTACCCTTGCCCTTCTTGTCTGCTAGAATAACAAGGCTCAAAATCAATTTAAGATCTTATACAGACAAGTATACTACATACCACGTCTGCCATGAAGTTCTATATTTAACTCGCCATCCGAGTCTGACTCGGTCTGAGTATCGTTGGCCACGATATTAGTTTTACGTGCAAGATATGGAATGAAGTGAGACATTTTTTTGTTATGCTCAGTCCATAGATCAGAGCACTGAGCACGTGTAGCCTGGAACTCATCAGAAAATATTGTAGAACCAGGTCCCAACTCCCAAGGATCAGGAGTTATTCGCTCTCCATCCATGACTGCAGTCAAGCTTTGTAGAAACTTGTCAGTAGAAAACTCTGCTGCCAGACTAGAGGGTAGACCACGCAAGAGATAGGCAGAGAATTGAACCATGGCTCTTGCATACCAATTGAACATTGCACGATGTTCTGTGAGAGCAAGTCCATCTGTGCCCCAATTGCCGTGATTGCTAAATGTAAAGGCAGAAGGATTATTGTAGCTTCAAACAAATGGCAATATTAACTGAGTTCAGACATAACAATAAAAGGAAAACTCACATGGGATCCGTCATCTCTGGACGAAGAGACAGTAAAGCACCATTGGGCATAGACGTAAAACTGACCAAACCATCTGCATTGATCAGAGCGCTTGGTGGATAGTTGACCACAACCATACGATAGGAATAAGGTGATGGTTCACGATCAGAAGGTGAAGTAGGAGGAGTGCCACCATGAAAGTGTAGACCAGAGAAGCAAACTGAAATCATGCCTCTCATAATCATATAAGCACCAATCTCGGGAAGATAGAAAAGTCCGGGATGATCATCTTCATCCAGGTCAGAATGACTATGCATGCAAGTAACCCCTCCAGGGGCATCTTGATGATCTATATGCTTGCCAGCAAACTTGCCTAGGTCTCCTTTGAAATGTGCGACTACAAGCGAAATGTAAATAAATAACAATAGAAAACTCAATAGTATACAACGCACCGGCCAACGTGTTAGAAGGCTTTGTTGCAGATATATTAATCTGCTGCGTCGGAAATGCATAGTTACCACTATGACCAAGCGGTGGCAAGTTCGTAACATCAGCTTGACACTTCAATGCCTGCTTGAGATGAGGAGGAGCATGCTTGAATGTGCTCATTGCAAGGTGAGAAGAAGCCTATGAATCTAATATGAACAAATGACTCAGACAAAATAAAAAAACTGTTAACACCTGAATTATAGTCTTACGCATCTTCTGATGTTCATTTACACACTCTTCAAATATCTTAGCACCTGGCACAGGAGCGCTAAGATTCTTCTGACTCTCGTATGACTGCCCCAGAGTGTAGCAACGAGCAGAGCCACTGATAGGCTTTGCCTGAGTATCCCTTTCCCATGTAACACCACCCGTCCAAGATCCATCCACCAATTCTGGCTTGGATGCGGTCCGAAGCTCACACAATCCAAGACCCAAGTCACGTGCATCTGTAATCTTTATTCCAAGGGAAGTCGATCTCTACAATATCATCAATTCTAAATGTTCAAGTTCATATTCAGAAGAGTACTCACTTAGGAGACCACCAATACTGTATAACATCATCCTCCATCCTCCCGCTCCCAAACATATCTCTAGCAAACACCGTATCGCCCTCTTGCAAACAAAAGAAACCTTGAAGGCGGTCTGAATACGATATAAATGTATAGGAAATATCAACTCACCAGCATTATCGGCCTCCTCTTCCTTTCCCTCTGGAAGTGGAGTATCCCTACAGTGATCCCATAACTTTTGCATTGCTTCTGGTCGAGTATCTTGAAGATACACAAAGGTTCGGCCATCCAGGAAAGGTGCAAGGGGGTGATTTCGAACTATATACATCTGCCCAAGGAGAGGGTGTCAGTTTCTAATAGGAAACAACTCCCCAGGAGGGTTTGGCACAGGTAAATTCTCCGCCATTTGTATCTGCAAGCTGTAAGAAAACCAGTAAGTTCAAGTCAAGCTAGCACTCACAATATTGAGTAGAAGGAACTTCCAAAGTCTTCAGGTGGTTGCCACAGAAGCAAGTAGGAAGTATCAAGACAAGAAGACCAGCAGCAAGACTTTGTATGGACAGGAGCAAAGAGAGTCGATGCACAGAGGATGGCCACCACTCGGCAAGAAACTCACAGCCACCAGCGGAGTCTCAACACATGGTGAGTTTAGATATCTTGTCGATGGGCGAGGTCCATTGACAAGATATCTAAACTTAGCCGTAGGTTGAGACTCAGCCAACCTCCATTGGGTTAATATTTTCGGACTCAGCCCGCGATGCTACCGGCACGGTCTGGTTTGCAAGTCTTCAAGTCCTTCATATTATCTGCTTCATCCTCCCTCGCTCGCCCTCGACCGTCGACCCCCCACTGTGCTGAACAACAGGACGCTCCGAAAAACACGAACGACACACCCGCATCAAGCGTGGAGGATCCGTTCGTCATCGTCATCGCGCGACGTGACACGACACCCACCAGCTCCCACTGGCCTTCCCCCGGCTCACCTCCGCCCTCTGCATTGGAACGGACGACACGCTCAGCACGGGAAAGTGCCAGAACACCTGAACGAAGCCCCCGCGTCAAACGCGGGGGCTCCATTCATCATTTTCATGGGACGGGATGCGACACCCACCACCTCCTCCTGGCCTTCCCCCAGCTCTCCCCTGTCCTCTGCTGTCTGACATGCAGGATGCCCAGCACGAGGACATGCGAGAACACCTGAATGAAGCCCCCGCATCGAACACGGGGGCTTCGTTTGTCCTCATTGTCGCTCGACGGGACGCGACACCCACCACCTCCTCCTGGCCTTCCCCCGGCTCTCCCCCGTCCTCTGCCGTCCAACGCGCAGGGTGCCCGGCATCGTCGCCCGATGTGACACCTACCAATGGACACAGCCCAATGGACACAGCCAGTTGAAACATCAGTTACAATGCTATTTGTACAGTGTAGACTATTTGACCATAGTATAGAAAATATAACCTGTCGCCTTTTGCCCCCAAAAAAACAAACAGCTTACAAATTTATATATTTAAATAATATGTAATGTGCGACTACTATGATACAGAACATGACATAACACATTGAATATATATAGTACAATCAAACTACAACTCAAAGATGCATTACAGTGAGCATTAACCAGTCACAGGCTAGGATACACAAGTAGAAGCGTGAATAATGCTTAAAATAATTTTCTCCTAGGAGCACATTACAAATATTACAAAATTATATTTTAGACATATTATAAGGAGGTGGAGTCATTGCTTGATGTGAAAAACACAATCATCATGAACTCAGACCATTTTACGCCTCGCATTAATGGAACAATCCTCCGCCTTTATGCTCACCTATATCCTGAGGGAAGAAAGGTCAAGCTCACCTGTATGATAAATGCAGTAAGCTTTACTCTACTCAGATATAATAATACGAGCTTATATTACACAGGTGAGTCAGAACATTGCCATCGTCACTGCACCAGATACAACACGAATGATATTAAATCTTGAGAAAGATGAAAATGTTTGTTTAGTTGTCTCTTGAGCATTCATCCAGATATTCACATATTTGTAGAAGGAGAAAGTTATCACTGGACAATATTTCAAGTTTATTGCTGAAGTCGGCAACACAAGAATCAATCTCAATGCACTGTATCACAAGCGTCTCCCCAAGGAAGTTGGTAAGAATACCATTGTGGCATATAATATAAACAGATGCTAAATGAACATATATAAGATCTTTTCGTGGTGAACGAGGTCGTAGAGCTAGCGCACAATCCCCCATACGATTCTGACATATTTAGCGTACCAGTCCCGTAATGATTTGTAATCTAACATGTGTAAACTATTGTTTCACAGAGAACTATATGTTTTTAAATCCCATGTCAGCACCTCCAGATCAAATTATTCCAACCCTTCCAAATGAAGTCAGCATTCTAATATGCAAGAAGGTCATATTGGACTGATCACACTTGACCTGCAACATAGAGAAGGTTCTTACAGTCAAGGAGGCTGAGACAGAGGCAAAGAAGACAGAGGTCAGGATGTGGCAGCAAAAGCTGCGACTCACGAGCAAATGTTGGCTCGATGCTACAGTCATTCCTCCCTTTTCTCTAATGACAATCATTATCGATATAGAGGATCAGCTTATTGCTCTCTTTCGAGCAATTATCAAGTATGAGAAGTCCTTCTGCAAATGCTATCTCAGCAATAACCCAAACAAAAACCACCTGACATTTCTGAACATTTCTGAATTGGATCTACGGCAATGCCTCGACTACAATGTACTGCAAATACAAATATTGGCCAAGGCAGCTATACCCCTTATAACCTCCTTGACAAGCTTAAAGTACACTATCAGCTATCAGGTGTGCACAAACCAGCTCAAACGCATAACTGCATGGTGGAAGGATAAGAGAAGTACACTCAAGCAACTCCATCTATATCATAATGAGGACTTTTTGTTGGCATGAGTGCAAGTAAGCATTTTATCCAGTCTAAGAATTCTGCAACTAAATGGCATACAGAGAAAAGAAATGCCATGGTATTAATTCAATTTTTTACAGCTTCTTGCCCGCCTACCTTGCCTGCATACATTTCATCTCGACACACTGATGCTCGCCTTCACACCACCTGTGGAACTCACTGGAATTGACAGTGGACAGCAATACTTCGATGTGATGTCGCAACACGAAGAGACTACTATCACGATATGGTTCAGAGAACTACCGACCTTACGCGAGTTATACTTTTGTCATGGAGAGCTGAATGAGTACGAGATGTTCTGATATTGGGAGATGGATGACTCAGATAAATGACATATATATGGAAGAAGACTCGAAATTGATGGAGAGCTGACAATCAAAGAAGGATTTCAGTCGATTGAGAATGGGCAGAGGAATACAAGTACTTCAATGTGGACTGTAGACCAGAGAAATAGAAGACAATGTGTTGAGATTGTATTGTGAGTGCATGCACACTTCAGGGTACCCTTCTGACCTAGCTCTTAGCTTCAACATAATCTATATTGTGTAGTGGCTAAGAGCCTCTCAGGTGTCAGACAGACCATGGTACTAATACATGTCCCAGGGCATTATATGGGATTACTCAGGGCAAAGGCAGGGCAAAGGCTGGTCCAATGGCACAGTTATCATATGGGATGTCCTATAGTACTAGGGCATTGATATTTATATCCCAGTATTACTGGTTGTCCCATGGTGCCAGGGGTACATAGGGATGTCCCACTATTAGTAAAAGATGTATTTTCAGGCTATTGTATGGTAGTTTTTAATACTTTGTCCTACAATCATATTGTATAAGCTTTAATTATAAAAACAGTGACTAGAATACTGTAAATAAGTGTCTTATTTGCATTTTATATATGGTGAAATATTTATAGAAAGCAGGATATCCCATATCAAGTATTGTGTATACATTTATAATGTTATAAAGACTATATTACTATTGGTAGCATGTACAACAACTTCATTACCTCATATAACAACTAAGACAGGTCAAACAACAATGTTTATTCTCGTGTTTTAAAATCAATTTTACATTTTCTGACATAATGTTCAGACTAACATGATATAATCTTTGGCATATAGTATGCATCATAGCTATACTACAACTTTCACCAAGTGTCTCAAGAAATAAAACAACTCAGTCTACTAATATACTAGCAAAGGAGATATATTCTTGTCATGTCTCCTATCATATACTGTATTTGAATGAAAAAAGAAAGGCATTTGACCTAAGACTTCAGTCAAGTTACACTCAGAAATGCATTCACTGAATGACACCTTTGCATTATGGGATGTCCCTTTATGTGATGGGATATCCCATGTAAGGACCTGTCACTTTTAAACCTTACTAATTCAACTGTTAGTATAAATCTCTAGATAATTATAGTAGTTAAATAGAAACTTCAGGCTAAAGAAGAGACTAAATATCTGTAAATCTTAAAATAACATCTTAGGATGTCCTTAACATGGGAGATCCCACCTTATATAATATGCAAATAAAGTGCTTGTTTATATTACTATAGTCACTGTTTTTATAATTAAGGCTTAGATAATATGATAGTGGAATAAAGTATAAAAAAACTACCATACAATAGCCTGAAAATACATCTTTTACTAATAGTGGGACATCCCTATGTACCCCTGGCACCATGGGACAACCAGTAATACTGGGATATAAATATCAATGCCCTAGTACTATAGGACATCCCATATGATAATTGTGCCATTGGACCAGCCTTTGCCCTGCCTTTGCCCTGGGTAATCCCATATAATGCCCTGGGACATGTATTGGTACCATGGTTTGTCTGACACCTGAGATGCTCTTAGCCACTACACAATATAGATTATGTTGAAGCTAAGAGCTAGGTCGGAAGGGTACCCTGAAGTGGCATGCAATAGTATGAATATGACTTATACTAAGCAGAAACCTAGAGATATGGAGGCAAAGAAACTAAAGCCAAAGTCAATTTCTCATGAATGATACAGGAAGATCATGCTACAAGACACATTGATTAAGCTTCTCGGAGGTGAATAACATAATTGTCTGTTTCATTAAATGAACTACTGACAATTAACCAGAAGAGCTAGGATGGGAGACATGAATAGTTCTGCAACGATGGAGAGGAGGAAATGTGGCACTGTTGTTGTAGATTATTTGTGCAAGTCGCATTGATTTCTACTACAATCACTTTGAAAGACCGACTGTATGCAAGCTGTAGTACAGTAACAACAGGCACTACAAAATTTGTATTTAAACCCTAGACCTAACCCAGGACTAGGTGCAGCCCATGCATACAAATTTGTATTGAAAAGTCGTTCTCACGCATAGGGGCCATTTCATCTGTCCCTCAGGATTTTGGCGGAAGCCCTATCCCATAAAGAATGATTCCTTCGTACCTCAGGAATCGTAATCAGATCCAATCTAGTTGATAATGTTACCTGATGTTAGCTATACGGCCAATGCCTATCAGAATATACGCATACAGCTGAATGTACCATCTAGTTTAAACTTTAATGCCAACTTGTCAGAGATGGCAGTTACAGTATGATGTAAGGATGTTTAGAACCTTACTAAGTTGAACCTTACCGATCTGCTCAGCCATGCGATAGCTCCAATTAACTATGATGGAAATCAGGATGCAAAAAAAAGAATTCCACGGTTGTGAGGCACGAACGATAGGACGAATCTGATGTGAACTGTGTCTAGAACACACTTCCGTGGACGTCCTAACGCCTAGATGGTTATGAGGTAAATCTTCGTATACTAAAGACGCACATCAAATATCAACCTTGAACCGTCTCAAACGACACTGTAACAGGATGGCTATCCAACTTATGCTGGAAAAGCGAGAACAATATCATCAGTTAATTGCTTGTCATCTGAAAAGTACCACTGACGTGTCTTATAGGTGAGTTTTTGATTGCAATGATGGCAAGTCGGTCGAAGGAAGACAGAGAAAGCCAGCAGTTCGTATTTATGGCGGATGTAAGTAATGAGTGTCAGCGAAGCTATAAAGTGACTTAGAGCTGATGTTACTTACCACCTCTAGCCTGAACGCCCTAGGATATGCACCGAAACATTCAGTCCTCGTGTGGGTGAATGTGTTGATTTTACGTGGCCCTACAATCCGATGACTGCAAATATACGTGATGAGATGGTTCTTTACATCCAGGGATATGTATGGAAGAGGATGCTACCACCCGTAACTCGACACAATCAGTGAGTCTAATTAGAATTTCAGAAGTTCTTTCTCACCAACAAAAACGACTAGACTGCTGACACATATTATCTCTGCAAAACAATCTATATCACTTGCAGGGCTTGGTGCAAAGTCCTTTGACAATGGTATTAAAGCTATAATCAACCTTCATCAGCTCATGTCGGAGAGGGTGAATGGAGCAACACTTACACCCTGGACACCCCGACGCATCCAGAATGAAGTACTCCTCGACTTCTCCAACCGATACTTCTCTTCGCCCAAGGATGCTGTGAGAGAGGAGGCGATAGAATTCGGTATTGAGACTGACCCATTTGGAATCTTGAAAAACCAGATGGAAGGTTACATTCATATGACTGACAACAAGGTGCTTTATTATGAAAGGAGTGCTCTAAATGAGCACGGCAAAAGGTGAGGAATGAAATGACATCAACATATATAACGCTGATGACCTATCTAGTCGTACACTCCCAATACAACCTGCTGCAATTCAAATAGGTCATATGGTTGAACTGCAGGTGTCCTTCTGTGCGGTGCCTATATCTAAAGGGAAGTATTGATTCTTGCACAAGTTGAGATCAATTTGTGTACTGAATCGAAGGGTACAATCGGTGAGTGGTATGCTATTTCAAGATGCAGATCACCATAACTGAAGTCAACATACCATAGGATTTCAACCAGGTTTTAGTGAAGCGTATTGTCCATCCACAGTTGTTGCCAACTCGTACTGTCAAACGTAAGATCGGCTATGATTCTGATTCTGATGCAGATATGGAGGAGGAGGATGACCATGGAAAGCGACGCTGTGTAGAATCTTCGATAGAGGCCATAGGATCATCTACGTCCAGATTAGACATATCGGACCCTGTGACTCCACAGATGTAGAGTATCACAGTCTCAGTATCAATAGCATGATATACATGTGATGCTACTGAATGAATATCATTACAAAAAAATCGGCCAAGTCATGTGTTGCACAACACTCATCCTTAAAAGAGAGACGGTCTTGTGGAGCAAAATCAGCCAAGTCATTGCACAACTCTTGTCTCTGAAAGAGGGATGGTCTTGTAGAGTAAAATTAATCAAGTCACCTGGGGATTAGTGACAGTATGCATTGAACAATGAGAAGGACGTACCAGACCCCTGGACTTGATGGAGAGGTGTTGTCCATGTTGTCCTGTGTGCCCTACTGCTGGGCATGGTGTCCATTGTCTGTGAAGTGTCAAAATTGAGGAGTGAACACTGAAGCCCTAATAAACAAGGAGTACAGATATGCTATCATATACATATCCTGCGATCTGCTTAGATAAGCTACTGTACCGTACAAAATAGGATGAATCACAAGAAGGGCCATGGATGCATAATGGAGGTCGGAAAGGTGATGGTACTAATCTGGAAAAATCACATTAGCTATATTAACAATCCGCAAACAGGCTGCATGGTGCTAAGGAGTGCTACAGATCTGCCACTCGTTAATATAGCTTATGTATCCCCCTCTTGCAGGGCACAGTGCTCATTGCACGGTCGAGGGTGCTGGACGCATGAGAGAGAAGGTGGTGGTGGTGGCCCGTTGGGGCTGCACATCGGATGACGAACACCCCCGCTCTTGAAGCGGGGGCATTGTTATTGTCATCCTGCACCCTGTCTTGCGGGGTATGGTGCTCATTGCACAGTCGAGGGTGCTGGACGTGCGAGAGAGGAGGAGGTGGCCCGTTGGGGCCGCATGTCAGATGACAAGGACGAGGACAAATGCCCCCGCTCTTGAAGCGAGGGCATTGTCATTGTCGTCCCTCTTGCGGGGCACGGTGCTCGTTGCATGGTCGAGGGTGCCAGACACGCGAGAGACGAGGAGGATGAATGTCGCCCCCACTCTTGCAGCGGGGGTGTCATTCATGTCACCCGGAGTGCCCTCTTGCAGGGCATGGCGTCCGTTGCAGGGTGGAGGGCGGTGGGCATGCAAGGGAGGTGAGGGAGGTCACTGTGGGTGATGCTGCACGTCGCACAATGACGACGACGAACGTCGCCCCCGCTCTTGCAGCGGGGGTGTCGTTCGTGTCGCCCGGAGTGCCCTCTTGCAGGGCATAGTGTCCGTTGCAGGGTGGAGGGCGGCGGGCATGCAAGGGAGGTGAGGGAGGTCACTGTGGGTGATGCTGCGCGTCGCACAATGACGACAACGAACGTCGCCCTCGCTCTTGCAGCGGGGGTGTCATTCGTGTCACTTGGTGTGCCCTCTTGCAGGGCATGGCATCCGTTGCAGGGTGGAGGGCGGCAAGCATGCGAGGGAGGTGGGGGAGGTCACTGTGGATGATGCCACGTGTCACCCCCGCTCTTGATGCGGGGGTGTCATTCGTGTCGTCTGGTGTGCCCTCTTGCAGGGCATGGCCTCCGTTCGGAGGTTGTGGGCGGCGATCGTGTGAGGGAGGGAGGAGAGGAGGGAGGAGGTGGGGCCGTGCGTCGTGCGATGATGAGGACGAATGTGGCCCCCGCTCTTGAAGTGGGGGTGTCATCGGTGTCGTCCTCCATGTCCTCTTGCAGGACTCTGTTCGGAGGTTGTGGGCAGCGATCACGCGAGGGAGGGAGGAGAGGAGGGAGGAGATGGGGCAGTGCATCGCGCGATAATGAGGACGAACGTGGCCCCCGCTCTTGAAGCGGGGGCATCGTTCATATTGTCTGGCATGCCCTCTTGCATGGCATGGCCTCCGTTGGAATGTCGAGGGCGGCAGGTGTGCGAGGGAGGTCGAAGAGGAGGGAGGAAGTCGGGCCCCGCGTCACATGATGACGACGAATGTGGCCCCTGCTCTTGAAGTGGGGGCTACATTCACAGCATCCGGCATGCCCTCTTGCTGGGCACACTTTGCATTCCATCATGCCAGGTGGTGGAGGCGCGAGGGAGGTTGGGAAGAAGGTCAGTAGGTAGAGCAATGAGATGGTGCGAACTACCATGCGGGGGTGTCGTCCGAGACCTCTAGCGTGTCCTCTTGCTTGGGACATCCTCTGGTTGGTGGTGTGGGGAGGAGGAGGACCGAGGGACTCAAGGAGGAGGAGCCCCGTGTAGGGACTTAGAAGATTCCGCGCAGTTGACAGACGCTTTCCCAGTCACATCAGATTCGAGCTCCGCTCAAATATTTCACCCAATACAGTAACTTTCTCAGCCACCAGGGCGCTGAGAATGAAAAAAGTGTTGATGCACTCGATTTTCTGGATGACATCGACACTTTTTTCGTTGTCCGCTCATCCACAGTCTCCGCTACCTCTCGTGGCGCCCACACTCACAAACTCGACACAAAGTCTTTCCCTCCTGAACCTCAATTGATATTGGCCTTCTATCGGTCCTGTACAGTGCTTCTTTGCTTCTTTACATCTGGTGAGCCAATCTTGACATTATGCTTCTGATTCCATGGAATACTAACCTTAAATTCCACCACTGCAGAACGCTAGCACCAACAATATCTTCTCTCGGTGAGTTGCTATTGTTTCACTTCACTGCTGCAGTCTTTGACCCAGCTGAGGATTATAGACCCTATTACTGGTCCACTTGTGCACCCCGGTGAACTTGTGAACATTTCTAACTGACACAAGATGCATCCTCACCTCTTTGTGGTGAACGACCATCCCAAGAACCCCTTTCCTGGAGTTGGGACGGTGTACATATACATCCAGGATACGCATGTAGAGGTGATGGAAAAGTTATTCGATTGGGCTGGGAAGCAGCAGTTGCCGGGGTTGACAGCTGAGCAGGCTCGATTGGCTGGTGTGTAAATGTTTCCGTTGTTCCTTTGCTCTTCTGATTCTGTTATATCAGGCTATGTTAAGATGAAGCCTGGAGATTCTGTGTTTGCTAGAGATATGTGGGGATCTGGACAACCGGTAGATGATGTAATTCAGGCATAGTATGTGCCCAGGTTCGTAAGCCTTTAATTTTCTGATAATACGCTCATGTGATTGATTTCATCTGCAGTTACAAGATACGGAAGGAACTTATCGATGCGATTATCGACTCTTGCGATGAGCTTCTTGGCCCGAAAGAATTGCGTACAGCCGATAAGGCTGTTAAGGTCAGTGATTTTGAGTGACAACGTAAAGTAGATCGAGTAGAATAGCTGATCATATTGTCAAGCTTGGTGATAGCTATACTGGAGGTATCCAAATGGGAACATGATCCAAATGCCATTCACGTGTCAACTTCCAAGCGTTGCTATACCTTGGGCCAATCCTTTCAGGGGCCTCGTAACCTTGCATCTCCCTCTCCTGGTGCTAAAGTATATGGTGACGTGTTGACACCACATTAGCAGATGCGTAAAAGGGCTGTACAGGTGTGTTCTTAATCATACTAAAGCATGCAGCATATTAATTGTAGTGAAGGCATCTACTAAAGTTGCCAATGTCTTGAGACTGGACCTCCAAAGGTATCAGAGACATTGAAATGCAATGCCAATGTAAAGAATTTGCCACCGTTAGGGGCTGATGACAGCTCAGATATTTACAACTACGCTGATCTGACTGTGCAGTTGAATATTTTGTCCACAAAAAATGAGGATGAGTATGCAGGTGCTTTATATTTTCTTCTTTAATGTTCATGCATATTAATAAGAATCATAGAGAGCAACTTCCAAAAAGATCTTGGAAAGTTTGCGGGCAATCACATCGATAAAGGTGACTGGCCTGGCGCTTACACAGTTATGATTGGGGCTTCTGATCTCAGCCCTGATGACTATTCTGGCATCTTCTGCTTATTTGACATTGGAATCTTTGTGGAAATGGGCAATATTCCTTTGCTTTGCTTTGGAGGTGTATGTCATCATAGTGGCACTCCTCCTACTTCTTCTGACCCTTCGGGTGATTCTTACCGAGTGGCATTTATCAACTACCCTTCAAAGAGTCAGATGGAGGGTCATGCTCTTCTTGGACTTGCAGCTATGCCTGATCACAAGCTGCTAACTTTACGGTCAGAAATGATTGACCCGCGGTGAGTACATATATATATTTTCCGCTTTTTTTATGTTTTGCTAAGTGATGTATAGTTATGACAATACGGACATCATCTATACGAATGAGGCCAACTGGGCGACCGACAGCTTGGCATTGAGTGATCCCAAAGCCTTTTTTTGCTTTTATACAAGAGGCATCGCCTAGTACGTGCATTTTCTTCTTCGTCAGGTGCCTTGAACGCTTAAGGCGAAGATGGATGTTAACAAGTTCCTGGACACATTTTCAATGGAGGTTGATGGTGAACATGTTACACCTGGCCCTTGGGAGCTTGGTCCTGGTTTTACTGCATACTCGGAGACTTTTGAAACTACTCGCGCTGATGCGGTGAAGTCTTGGGACCATCTAGTGAAGACTTGAGCTGCATTTATTCCTTATCTTGCTGGAAAGAAGAAGGGAGGGGCCGGTAGTGACTCTGACTCTGATGAGGAGCCTGCAGCAACTGGTGATATTGAAGCAGTCATTGTGCCTGCTAAGCCAAGTGGTCGACCTTGTACATTTTTTTTGTTTGAACTCAAGTATTAGTGACTGATTGCTGTTCTGTAGTACCTAAGAGTCTGTATTGATATCACTCATTTCTGCATTACGTTCTAATTTGTTTGTGATTATAGAAAATTCCAAGAAGCATCCTCGAACTAACTCACAGCCCAATTTGGATGCTTCTCAACCAAAGAATATGTGCAAGGGTTATGCAACTGGTATGCTTTACTTTTATTGTTTCTGCTTATATCTAATACTGGTTTTCAGAGGTTGGGTTACAAGATATGCTGAAAACTATCGGGCGTACTCGGACAATCGATTTATCGACCAAGACTAAGCGTTGCAGCAAGTGTTTGGCCACTAGACATGAATCCTCGGACACAGACAACAAGCAAGAATACTTGGGCCTCGTTGGTGGTGGCCATAATAATGGTGATGATGGAATGGATGTAGATTTGTCTGGTGCACAGAAGGGCGTAAGGCGTAGCAGTCGCCTTGGTGGAAAGTCGGGTGTATCGTCTCGTTAGTGTTTATATATCTGAACACCTTGTATACAATACTAAATTTATATTCCACTCAGACATCGAGCAGCATGTTTCTGATGGCTATGAGCCTGACAAGGATGACGATGATGAAGACAACTATGATCAAGAGCCCAGGAACACTGAACAGACACCTCAGACTCGAAAGAAGAAACAACCTTTACACAAAGTCTTGGCATCTTTCTATGTTTCTGATGAATCTGTAGAAGAGGGAGAGCAAGGTATGTTTAATGTATTTGTTTATTCTTCATTCAACTTATGCTTGCAGTAGACCAAATAAACAGTGACCAAGTGACAGAAAGCGAAAATGATTCAGACACTGATGACACTGGTGCGTCTTTTGACTGGATTAATATAATGTTATTTTGCTTATTTGTTTACAGTTCATGCGACGGTGCTCTCACTCTTCAAAAAGTGAAACATCAAGGCATCTCATTCAGAATTCAAATATGGGAGTCAATGGAGGTTCTCTCTATCAAAGGCAAAGCCATCTCATTGGAGAACATTCTTGCGTAGAAGCAGATCATGCTGTCTAATGGTGTTGCCTGACATTGGCTGAACATCATCTGTCTCCAGCGTTGTCAGGAACTCTTTGAATCTCTTCATGCAAGGAAACTTGTAACCTCATCCGATTGGTTTACCTCTCTTACTATCAAGATCTACCAGCACTTCGAGATTTCTCGCCGCTCCAGTGACACACTAAATCCCTCGACTTATCTTCCTGGTCTTCCAAAGTCGATTCAACCTTGGAAGCTGCCTGTTACCAATGCTCTTAATGGTGATGAGCTGGAGACTCGTGTTCTCAGCACACTGCACTCAGTCCTACACAGTTGGCTTGGTTATCCAAATGATACCTCAATGATGCGAGGTGTCTTCGTGACTCGGATCATACAGACATTTCATTCTGAGAATGTTTTACTCCTTCAAGGCGTATGGTGCATATATTCTGAAATCAAGGTGAAGGTCTTGGGTCCTTCTTTCAAAGGATTGCGTCCACACTCCCTACACCCTAATATGCTGGATACAATCTTTGACAAGCTCTCCAGCCTGCCACTTGCTAGCCTGGAGTCCAAGGAACATTCTTTGTTGGAAGACATAGGAGATTTGATGAAGAAGGCCCTGGAGCTCATTTCATACCCTGGTGGTAAACCCACTGCCCCTACACCAGCAGCGACTTCCATTCCTTCTGGAACTGCATCCACCTCTCAGATTCCAACTCACCAGGGACTCCAAAGCCTTCTTGACTTTGTGTTGGAGCTGATTCCTCTGGTGGATTCTACAACAGCATTTCCTTCCACTAGAATCCAATCGCTTGTACTCCAACAGCTTGACAAGTGTCTTCCCTTCCACGAGTGTGCACCAAGCAAGTCACGTGTCAGTGGACTTGATGGACCGCTTCACTCAGACAATATCGACAAGCATGGTGCATTTGCAAGTGCTTGTATATTCTGTGGAATCACCTTTGGTTGTCCCGTTGTTCAAGAGAAGCCAACCTATTTTTCCACAGAAGCAGTGTGGGAGGAGATGCTTCTCTCTTGTCCTCGTGATTCATCTGGCAATATTCGCAAAGGCTATCTCTGCGACAAGACTGCATACAGTTCCTGTATTAGTGGTCGTGATCCAAAGCGCACCCACAACTACTTCATCGCGGAGGAATATTTTCACAGATTTTTGGAGACGGAGGGTAAAGATGGCCAGATTGGCTTCACCCAATTTTACACCTGGGCAACTAGGTCTATGCGAACTGATTGCAAGAAGATTCTACCCCAGATGGGCGGTTTAATCTGTCTGCTCTTGGCAGCTGATCTTTGCTATGCAGGCAAGGTCAGAATGCCAGATGTTGATGAGATGGCCAAGGTAGTTGCTCATGTGGAGAAGGGTGCTATTGCTGGTCTATCTCTTTGTTCATTGACATCTGCAGGATCTAGTGTGGAAGAAGTTGAAGAGGCATTTAAGATGGCATACTCATTTTTGGACGCTCATCTCACTGTTGAACAGAAGAGACTTATTGGATTTGATCCAATTATGACAGAACATTTGCTCTGTAAGTTCCAGCGAGTAGATAGGGTAGCAAGTAGAAAATCATGACCGTTGTAGATACTTTGTAGTGGTCAAGTCAATATATACAGAATGTAATAGTCACAGATAATATTCTGGGGTCTCAACTGGCAGCTGCACTTGAGAACAGCTTCTTTACCCATCATTGTACATTGGAATAGCAGCAGATTAAGCCCTCATTTGTCCATTTAGGTGAGTTCTTCATCCTCCTAGCTGTCCTTCTCTTCCTGACCCCAAACTCTCTTTACAGCATTTATCTGAGCATGAATTGTAGATTTGACCTTCTTCCCATGTTTTGGGGATAATGTAGGTGAATATAGACCTCTGGATTGTCCGGTGTGTCCCTGTATTCACTGTTCTCACTTATTTCCTCTGAGCCAGACAATTAAATCGAAATTATATTCCAGGCTTCCAACCAAGGGCTGTACTTAGGAACGGCTGCCTTGCCCATCATTATACATTGGAACAGCAGCAGATCAAGCCCCTATTTGTCCATTTAGGTAAGTTCTTCATTCTTTAAACTTTGCTTCTCTTCCTCACTATAAATCCCTGTTACTGCAAGGATCTCTGGATGGATGGTAGATGTGACCACAATATAGCATTATTCCGATTTACATGATCCAATATTGCAGTATGTCCATAACATTCTATATATGCCAGTAGAAGCAAAGCATGCTAAGGTGAAGAAAAGAACATTAGACCAAGTAATGAGTCTGTTTTGTGGTCAGATATTCTATAATATATTTGGAAAAGCTCCCATACTACAACATTGAGTTTTTAGTATAAGGATTGAGTATAATAATACAGAGGAATGTCGATCAAAAGTTTAAAAGATGTAGGTCTGAGGTCAACTGTGATACTCCATCTTAAAGTATGAAATCGATAAGCCAACCTAAACGCATCTTAATGAGTACTATCTACTATGACTTTGAGTTATTTAGAATAAGGATTGTGAAACATAGAATTAAAATCACAGAGAAACAGAGGTCCGAGGTTAACCATAATATGGAATCTTACAATGCCAGTGATTAAATAAAAACATGAGTGCTATCTGTTATCTAATCTGAGTGCCCTAGCCACCTATCTGTTGATGGTGCTTTGTACAAGTCACATCGGTTTTCAATACAACTTTTTTTGAATGTCCGCCTGTAGTTACAGTGTAGTAAAGTAAGTAGAGCTACTACAACGTTTGTAGATGGAGCTGAACCCTAACCTTAAGTCACCCATACAAATTTGTAGCCAAAATTCGTTCCCACAGTTTGGGGAAAACGTCGTGACAGGACAAGCGCCCATCTAAAGCTCATCCTGCATAAGAACGATTCCTGAGGTACGAAGGAATCGTAACCATTCTGGCATATAATATAAATGGATGCTAATGAACATATATAAGATCTTTTCGCAGTGAACGAGGTTGTAGAGCTAGCGCACAATCCCCCATATGATTTAGTGTACCAATCCCGCAATAATTTGTAATCTAACATGTGTAAACTATCATATGCTGTTCGACAGAGAACTATATGTCTTTAAATCCCATGTCAGCACCTCCAGATCAAATTATTCCAGCCCTTCCAAATGAAGTCAGCATTCCAATATGCAAGAAGGTCATATCAGACTGGTCACACTTGACCCGCAGCACAGAGAAGGTTCTTACTGTCAAGGAGGCTGAGACAGAGGCAAAGAAGATGCAGATCAGGACGTGGCAGCAAATGTTGCAACTCACAAACAAACATTGGCTCGATGCTACAGTCATTCCTCTCTTTCCTCTAATGACAATCATTATCGATACAAAGAATCAGCTTATATATTACAAAGTCTCCATTAAAGACACATATTATATTTCAGGCAGTGCAGGCCGTATTTGAACGAAATTCAGATATCGTAGAGGGTGACTTAGATTGACTGCAGAAAGCACAGAAGATTATGACAAAGATTGTATCTCTTACAGCAAAGTCTGAGATTGGTGGACCAATGGCATGTTTATATTTACTGCAGCATTCGGACCACTATACAAGTCATGACTTTAAAGTCTGCTACTGGCGCAGTTATGTCAAACAAGTTGAAAATGTCTGACAGACATCTGAACCTGAAGGAAATGAATGGCAAGTTCCAGACAAGGTTATACTAGGTCAAAGCAATGGAAAGTATATTGGCATCTCACCAGTTGTTGACTATATGCATCGGCCTCCAGAACTTGAGTCAATTAGTTTGTATGACTGGATTTGACGTGCAGACAAGAAGAAGATGTCTAAACAATATAGTGAAGGCAAAGAAAAAAAGTTTGAAGTAAACACTATCACTAATCATTGCTGGATTGGTCAAAGAGTTGAATTCTGTGTACAATGGACTCTAGGTGATACAACTTGGGAGCCATATACATCCTGCAAAGATCTTGCAGAGTTGGATGTTTATCTTGAGAAACTTGAAGTAAGGGATTGGCATGCACTACCAAAAATTGCACTAACAGAAAATGACTCTGAAGATGAAGAATATGATGGTAAATTACCAGAAGAACATGAAACATCAACCTCAGATCCTGATTCAGACAAGGGCTCTTACACGTGGTATTAATTTTCTAAAGATCATCCACAGTATGAGACACTACGTGCGACTAGTAGCAGAGCGATATGCACAGATACACTTTGTAGGTGGAGCATTGCCTAGGCGAGATAAAGGAAACTGTGAAGATTATTGTATGACTATGCTTACTTTATTTAACTCATGGCAGACTGGACTTGAGCTGAAGGTAAACAGTGATGTAACTTGGGATGATTCTTTCAACCAATATGAATTTACTGAGAGACAGCATGAGCTTCTAAAGTTTTTCAATCTTAGGTATGAATGCAATGATGCACAAGATGATTATTCTGCTGCAAGAAAGGCAGGAAAGGGCCAAAACATTCTTCCCTTTGATGCAAATAATGACTTGTTAGATTACTTTGACAGTGAGTACTATGGTGATGAAGCTCAAGCTGACCTTGTTGATGAAGCAAGTATGCTTAACCTGGACCAGTATGATGAACCAAATCGGTCTGCATTGTTCCGTACAGCTCAAATGCAAGAAGCAGAGCACATGCTACAAACTTGTGGTGCAATGGATGCACTTCCACTTAATCAGAAATCAGACTTTGCTGATTCTGACATTGCAATACAAACTGGTCAAGGTTGCACTGGAAATGCTTGGAAAACATTACTTCTAGAGAAGCGTGATGCAATTCTGCAGGCTCGAGAGACACAAGCTGCAACTAAGAAGTCTAGTCAGTCTACAACTGAACCAGTCAATTCCATTGACCAAGTAAAGATTATTGACCAGTCGTATCTTGACAAGTCATTCAAAGCATCAAATAAAGATAGTCAACAATT